TGCATGAGCTGATGAACCCAAGATCAGCAAGCACTATAGCAGGCTACTGGCTTTGGCAGATGACAAATCCAAGACTGATGGGTAAAATCACAGATTTTGGCTAAGAAAACAACAATCCCAAGATCAGCAGGCAATATGGCAGGCCATTGGTTCAGCTCCAAGGACCAGAGATGATAATGAGCTAGATGCAGGATCCAGATCCAGCAGAAAGCTAGAGAGTATTTGTTCCTACGATGTCCATATGTGTATTAGAAACAGGCCACACCCTGAGGAAACTCCCTTTTAGCTGAGTGGTTGCTCATAGAACATCTCATCATGGAGGTGATTACATCGCAATTGCTTAAACTTAGAATCCTGGTCCAGTCAAGTTGACACACAACCTTAATTATCACAGATGGATATATGTGAATATCTATCTATCTATCTATCTATCTATCCATTCACATATCCATGTAGCTATTTCTATGGGTATTTATCTATATGCGTGGTGCAAATGGTTAACATGCTTGAAAGCTAACTGAAATGTTAGTGGTTTGAATCTACCCAGTGGTGCCTCAGAAGAAAGCTTAACTATTTACTTTTGAAAAATCAACCATTGAAAATCCAATAGAATGACCAATGGAACTAAATTGAGAGCCCAGAAGTAAATCCATCCACCTATGATCTTTCACTAAGGACCAAAACACATTAAGTAGGGGAAGAATTAATCTCTTTTAAAAATGGTGCTTGCAAAACTAAATATCCATTTGCAGAAAAATGAAACAGCACCTGTATCTCACACCATACACCAAAACTAACTCAAGATGGATCAAAGACCTAAAGGTAAAACCTAAAACCATAAAGATCATCAAAGGGAAAATAGGAGCAAACTTAGGGGCCCTAACACATGGCATAAATATGCTGTCAAACAAAACGAAAAATGTACAAACAGCAGAAGACAAACTAGATTACTGGGCATTCCTAAAAATTAAACATTTATGCACATCAAAAGACTTCACCAAAAAAGTAAAAAGAAAATGTACAGAGTGTGTGTGGGGGAAATTGGCAACAGTATATCACACAAAGGACTAATGTCTAAAATTTATTAAAAATTTCACACCTCAATAACAAAAAGACAAACAATCCAATTAAAAAATGGTCAGAGGATATGAACAGATACTTCACCAAAGAAGATAGTCAGGTGGCTAACACAGGAAGAAATGCTCACGAGTATTAGCCATTAGAGAAATGCAAATGAAAACAACAACGAGCTATCACATCACCCCAGAACTAATAGCACAGTTCAAAAAAAAAAAAAAAAAAAAAACAAAACAACAAATGCTGGTGAGGGTGTGGAAAGACTTGAACCATCATACACTGCTGGTGGGATTATAAAATTGTATAACCACTGTGGAAGGTGGTGAAGTGCTTCCTTAAAAAGTTGGAAATAGAAATACCATTTGACCCAGCAATCCCACTACTAGGTATATATCCTAGAGAAATAAGAGTCATGACACGAACAGATATATGCATACCATGTTCACTACAAGATTATTCATAATAGCAAAGAGATGAAAACAACCTAAGTGCCCATCAGTGGAGGAATGGATCAACAAACAATGGCACATACACACAATGGAATACTAAGCAACATTAAAGAATAATGATGAATAGAGATAAATATTGATTTGGGTGAAGAGAAGGGCAATGTACCAAATGTGAGTGACCAATATGGCAGCATTGAGGATGAGAAAG